TCGCACGCTCGCGACGATTACCTTCGGTGCATCGAGCTCAACGATTGGAGCCCTTCACTTTATTACTACCTTGCTGGATGCGCAGAGTTAGAGCTGTACCGGAACGCTTGCCTTGCGGACCCGAAAGACAAGTCGCAGATTAGCGTCCATAAGAAGAAAGCCGAAGAGCTGCTCAGAAAAGTCCCCGGAGTAGCTGGGAAGAAACGATTTATGGCGCGGCCGCTGCCCTTCGAAGAGTTCGTAGTCCGAAAGCTGAAAAAATGGGAGGAGAGATCGAGCACGTTGTCCGTCGACCTGGCTGACGCAATTGGCGTTAGTCCGATGCAAGAAATGGTGTACCTTTGGAATGGCCTCAAGAAAATGCAGCCTGCGGAACTAGAGAGAGCCGCCGACGATCTATCATGGGACCGACTGACGTGTTTAGAAGAGGTTCGCAGCAAAATCCAGGCTCAGACAGACGAGCAGGGACTGCACGACTTGTGCCATGCCGCGATACTCCGCAACCTGGAGAGGTTTGATGAGGCTAGAGTTAAACTTCAAGAGGTCTTAAAATTCGACAAGTAAGGCGATATTCTACTTATTTTTGGGGCAATAACTGACAATGCTTTTAGATCTGCTTTCAAAGGGTCCACAAAGGACGACTATATCCCGCCCTCGGCTCACTACGAAATGGCCGTCCTCGCATGGGTCGAGGGACAAACGAAGACACCGGCTGAGATGAAGAAGAAGGTAGAAGACTGCCAGTCCTGGCTAGACAAAGTCTCTAGATGGGAAGCGTATGTACTAGACGGTAGAATCGGCATGCGCGTGCAGACTGGCATGGACACTCTTCGATGGTACAAGCGAGAGCATGACTTGCCTGCATAAGCGTCGCACATGATTAGTTGTTGCCGGCTCCAGATTAGAGTGAAAGGGAGATGTATAGACGGTTTAAGGGTAATAGAGTACATAAAGGCAAAGTCCATCAGTTTGGCTCGGTGTTAGGGTATGGGTACTTCCGGTCTTTCATTCGAATTTTAGTCCGCTGCTCGCCCTGCAGGCTTACGAGGCTCGCTATTTTTTTGTGGCGTTATTGTAGCGTCAAGTTTTTTGTAGATTATCTCTACCCAAAATGCACGGGACTTTTAGGTAGACAGGGGGGGGGGGGGTTTCTGTTAATTTGAGTAATTCATTGGGATGCACAAACTCACGAAAAAGAACCACGGGAGTTTTCCACAAGGGGGAGGGAGATCAAGAACTAGGTAGGCTATGATACCTATGGCGCGCGTTTCGAGCGAATCTCTGATCGCTGGTCAACCAACCTACCTACCTAACCCTCCAAACCCACTAACTGATACCTACCATTTTCTTTACTATCTTGCCAAATGTCCGGAATGCACAGATAGATAGATAGGGAGTCATCAACATCAACACCAACTAGGTAAGCCCCCCTCCCTCCCTCCACAACCTCAAGCATCACTCCTCCTCCACCGTCACCCAAGGTGAGTGACAACCGCCGGCTCATGAGGGCGACGCAGGAACTCCGGCGCGTCGCCATGCCTCATTCTCATTCTCCCCATCCCCCTTGCCTTTCCTACGGAGCCCAAACAAGAGGGCTCTCTCCCCCTACAGTCAAATAATGTTGTAACCTATGCGTTACTGGATACAATTCTCGTATATACTAAGCAATAAAAGACGAAGCGTTGGAATTGGATTTCGTATTACAAGGAGACCGCCAGGCAGAACAACATACCAGGTTAAGTAAGCAGAAATAGGATATATACCTAGCCACGTCTACCGAGCCCTGTGGGTGTGCTGCTTCATCGTATCACACCGTCCAACCATAACGGGTTTCTATCACGATGACCACTCTTTGGCCTGGTACAAACGAATGAATATCCATACGTGTGGCTCTCATTCTCCCTTTCATTCTCCATAGTGACGATGCCACACGGATCCATGTGCAGAGCTCATCGATTTGAGTGATGTACATAAACGAGCGGGATGAATACAAGCGTATCATACATATAGAAGCAGCGGAGACTGCTGACCATGAGCCATCGAATCATAAGGTCATTACGAGTATATACAAAGTAGCACCTTTTTGTTCCAGAGGAGACATGTCGTGAAGCGCACGAGTTCAGGACATTGGCAATGAGAGCCAAGCCATGGGGTATCAGTGGTGAACTAAACGCCAGTCGGGCCGGGAGGAGAAAAGTGGTGGAAACTAGACTGGGCGAAATCGCGCGGGCAGCGAGCGTCTCGAGGAAAACAATTCAGCAGCAACAACTTGCCATTACTCGCTCTCCCACGGGTCTCCTCCATGGCCGCCTTCGTCGCCCCCCTCCACTTCGTACGTCGTACCCAGGGCTTCCTTTCCCTGACGGATCATGTCTCTGAGACGAGAGTTAAAATCATTAATCCGCGAATCTGTCTCCATCTCCTCCTTCATCCGCTTTGCTGCCAAGCCTCTAGCCTTGGCATCCAGTCGCGGGCTGTTGTCGTGCACCTCGTGTAGGGACTCTCGTTTCACCATCTTCACGGGCGAGATGGACGAGGCCGACACGGCGCTCTGGGTCCGCCGGTGGCCGCGTTTCGCGTACGGGCTGGGACTTGGGATTCGAGACGGCTGCTGTGCGAAATGACTCGTTACAAAGGGGTTGGGGGATTGTGGTCGGGAGGGAACGGGGATTCTGCTGGGTGTCTGCGCCTTCATGACAGGCGATGGGGCTGGGGATCTGGTGGATGCAAAACTCGCAGGCTCACGGGTCGAGATGGGAGCTGGGCTGGGTCGGGTGGATCGGGTAGGAGTGGGAGGATGACGGTTGAAACTCGGCGCGTTGAGACGGCTAACTGGCTTGCTGATGCGGCGAACGAGCGAGGGTGTTGTCGTTCGTTGCACCGGGCGGCGTGACGGCGCTCGTGATGCTAGAGAGGGCTGTCGGCTCACGTTAGCTGGCTCATCAATCATGACCCAGTTCTTGCGCAGCTCATCAGTAGGTGTCCCATGCGATATCTGCCTCCGTTTTGGTGCCGGCGGCGGTGTCGACTCGGGTGTGTCAGGCTCGTAGTAGAGTGGCGGATCGTCCAACTGAGGGAGGCGTGCTGGTAGAGGGCTGGGATCCCATCCCATCTGACTGTTAGCTGATTGTTGTCGCATTTCCGCGGACACCTCATATCCCCTCCCGCCTCCAGCGTAGAAACCACGAAACGCGCCGGTCTTGCAGAATTCCCAGACCCTGCCAACGACACCGCCGATCGTACTGATTGCATAAGAGCTCCAGCCAGTGGAGACCCGATTATCAAAGTCGACTGTCATGGGCCTCAACGCCGGCGAGTCGACGTCATCGCGCGATCGTTTAGATCCGAGGGCACGCCTGTAGTCGACATCAGAATAAACACTATCTTCCATATGCCCAAGCTCCTTCTGGATAGCTCCGTTAGGGGTCTCTATCTGGCCAGCCAGCACATAACGCTTCTCTTTTCCGTTTGTATGGAGGTCGAAGTCGGAGCGACCGTCGATGATATGATCTGTCATCGCCCAGTCGCTGATGGGCGTGGACTCCCTTGCACCTATCCGCTTCCTCTTAGCATTGGAGATGGGCGTGGGCGCCTCTGATTGCAAGCTTGCCGTCGACCTCCCGAGGTACATCGAGCTCGACACGGACGGGGACGCGGGGGGGCGAAAGAGGCCCGGATGCACGCCCGGAAAGGGAGCACCCCTACCATCGCCACCGTTTGGTAGGTTAAAGTGAAAGGTGCCGGACATGAGGATCTGAGAATTGTATGACATTTCTAGTGAGGTGTTTGGATGGATATGAAGAGTGGTGTATTTAGTTGGAGAGAGCGGCGACGCTAGGCTGACGGACAGGCAGTCGTGGAAGCGTTAAAGCGCGGCCTCGGTGTCGCGAGCGCTGATTTGGTCAATATGTACATAAAACAAAACCCTAGATGCTTCAAACAGTGGTTCGCTAACTCGCTCGATAAGAATATCGGAATGTGTGGATGACCATCGATCTCGTGTCGCTGCGTTGTTTTGGTTTTCTGTGATAGTGGGAGATGGTCGGTTTGCAGCAAATGTTTGTCGCGCGGAACACTGATGACGGCTCGGGAGCGCGTGATCCGATGCCTCACGACAGTGTTGAAGTTGTATATGCCGATAGCCGATGCGATCGATATTCGCGTTAAACTGCTGCTGGGTAGTTCTGTTCGAGACCCGGCAGCCCGTGCGCTTCAACGGACCATGCAGGGTGTGCTGCTTGCGTGGAGCGGAGGAGTAACGCGATGGTGCCAAACGGAGATGGCCAAGGCCAGAGACGGTGTTGATTCCTGCTTGCCGGCGTCGACCCCCTTACGCACAAGACACATGACCTAAGGTTGGAGCTGTAAGCTGGAACAGGGCTAATGCCAGTAGCCGGTGTGACATATGGATGAGTGCTCGGAAAGTGTATTTGACGCCGAGATGTATTCCAAGTCCTGCGCAAGTTCGAGCCACACCAAGCAAAGCCCCGGAACTGTGCAGTTTGAGTGTGCTGTCGCTACATTCGGGAGATGGGATGCTCTTGCGTTCGACTGGCGAAGGGTACTTGATTGTTGTGGTTGCGTTGCTGGGCCAGCATGCGTTTAATGAAACACTCCCTACAGTAGGTATTCGGTAGGTAGCGTAGACCAGACCCCACTGAGGCCAGGTGGGTTTAAAACTTTACCTACCTGGGCTACGCCGCTTTTAGCCCGGGCCGCGACTGGCTCGTGTCCAACAGGCCCTATAATAATTATGCCAATGCCCTTGTTTTTAAAAGGTCTTAGTGCTTCAAGTTCCTACTTATACTACTAGTATTACATACTAAAATATTGTTAATGGCACTTATGGTCTGTTTTTATTTATGCCTTGTACAGGTAGTTTATGTTAGCCTTAATAGCTTCGTTAATATAAATTAACCAGCTCTTGCTGCTTTAGGTTATATAGTGTGTTGCCCTTCAAATTACCCCAACCCAGTAGTCCTCTACTCCAAAGCTTCACTGGTGCGATGGCCGAGTGGTTAAGGCGACAGACTTAAGTTACAAGAGTTCTGTTGACGAGAGTCGCGCGAGTTCGAACCTCGCTCGCATCACACGTATTTTTTACGCTGGTTTTTCTTTCTCTCTTGGCATATTGCATGGAAAGGGTCAAACGCGCGGTCATGGGGGGTACGGCCGTGACATTGTGTTGCATTTCACATTTAACGAACGCGCGGGGTAGCTAAGTCGTCGTTCCCCTCAGATTATTTTGTCGATGTGCTTTTTACCTTCGCAACAAGCCCTTCTCTTTTATTTGTGTTACCTTACATTGGCACAATTTATCTATATTTGCACCTACCTATGTCCTAGAGTCGAATACTTTCTCACCTAACGCCTGCGAGGTTTCCCCCAATCTCAGTGTGTTAAGATGACACCGAACCCCGCAATTTCTAACCAGATCACCGCGAAGGATATGCTGGTTGTCGCTAAAGGCTGGGAATGTAACCTGGTCACATACGTGGTTGTGGTGGCCAGGTCCTGGCCAGAGCTTCGTCTTCAACACTCTCATAACACCCAGCCGACCCGCCGCACTTAGCCACCAGTGTCTGTCTTTATGGTCATCAAGTGCTAAGTATTTAACGTAATGACATGCTTGTTCGCCCTTTCCTGGCGTCATACCTATCTATGATACACTGCAGATAAAGGGCGCGATCAGCCTTCTGTGCCTCTGAGTGGTTATAGCGTGACCATTCAAATATCCCTTCGATCAGGTGAGGCTCGCTGGTCAGGAGGCGTGGGATAAACCGCCAGAAATTGTAACGGGGACCATTGTGGCAGTGCCCATGTCCACGATACTATCCCTGTGTTAGCCGCATCATTTCTCTAATATTGTCAACGCAGCTCACCAATCCATCCTTTCTTCGTTGACGATGAGATCAAAACGGCACAAGTCGCCATGAACAAGAAAGGACATGGGGTGCATCACTAAATGCTGGGAGACGAAACCTGGATATGCATCGTTGCAACGCTACGCAGTCATCGACCGAGATTCCAGGCAGATGGCCGCTAAGAGACCGCTTTGTTCGCGTTCTGTAATCTTATCGGTGACCATTTCAGAGAAGAGCCAGCTAGGTAATTATGTGAGCAACAGTTAGACGAAAGGTTTGTCAGCATCTTACCTAATTCTTGTACTCGTAGGTAAGAGATCTAATGTGACCTCTGTAACATGTTGTTGCGGATTTGCGGGGGAGGGGTAGAGTCCGTCCATTGTGCATCGTGGGGTATTCACATCAAGTGACTCTGCCTGTCTGTAGTATTGCCTTTGGCTTGTACAGATGCACTGGCGGTACTACTACTGATCCGGTTGGTACCCAGGTAGGTAAGGTAACTTTCCCGCCACGATAACGCGCCTTGGGGGAGCACGATATAGGTAGGCAACCTCAATTAATTTGCTTCGGTATTTTGGGTATAGGTCTATCTCTAGGTGCCCCGTTGCCTCTAATGATTAGCTCTATCCGCTTTCCTCTCTATCTCACAATGAGACTCTAGGTAGTAGGTAGGTAGGCAAACCCCGCCAAATGTCTTGCAACTCGCGGGTTGCCCGTGTAAATGAGAATAGGCGGCCAAATGACCTAAGCCTAGGCCTAAGCCGAAGGTGCTGGCTGTGATTTATCTTTCTTGCTCGATCTAGGACTCTCTTACGGAGCCGCATCGCTCTCCTTGTTGTAGTAGGCTTCCTGCTTCTTAAGCTTGTCCGCCTTGACACCACCGTCGACGCCCGACTCGCCGTGGACGTGCGCCTGGGCGCCCCAGAAATCGTCGCGCTCCTTAAGTACCTCCTCCGCCCATTTCTTTATCTCTGGGAGCACTATCTTCGTAGCCACGTAGGCGAACTCGCCGAGGTCGAGGGCTTTGTTGGCGCGCTTCTCGTATTCCACCATCTGCGTCAGGAGTTCCATCTTGTCGAGGTCGTGGACGAAGTGGCTGTCCAGCGTCTTCGAATCCTCGTATTCCTGCCAGATCGCCCGGATCTCCGCGCCTGCTAGGCCGCCGTAGACCTTGCCCAGTAGATTCTTCGATATGTAGTCCATCGTCTCGGCCTCGCGACGACTCTTCTCCGGCTTCGATACGCCGTCGACCGGGGTGATGTCGCCGACGACCGCCTCCGCCATGTCGTGGATCAGGCACATCTTCATGCACTTGAACAGGTCGAGCTTCGGCGCGAGCGTGGGCGGGCAGAGCATCGTCATGAGGGACATGCGGTACATGTGGTCGGATATCGATTCGCCTCTGCGCGCGTTGCCGTCAGCTTGCAAGTATCGGTAATTGGGCATGTTTTGTGTATGGTACCTCTCAATATTGAAGCGCCTCCACCCCTCGCGCTTGTTGGTCTTGAGTCTCTCGAGGATGTGGAAGTATGGAACAGGCGAGTTGGTGCCCTCGGTGGGCGGTGCCGGAGACATGGTAGCTGTCACCTTCTCTACTGTCCATGGCTCGGAGATCTGGGGTGTTGTCACGATGCCGGGGTCTGAAAGCGCTCGGGGTCAGTGTTTGCCACGCATGGGGAAGGAAAAGGCGAGATAACTGACCAACGAAGCCGTTGCTACCACTATTGCCAACGCCTGATGACATCTCGTGTCTTGTGTTTATTGATAGCTCTTATGAGAAATTTGCCTGGGTCCTGGCAACCTTCGGTGTCGGCTGCAAGCGCCGTGAAATCCAGAGGGAGGGAGAGAGGATTGTCGAGGGTCTTGATCAGAGATACAAGTAGGAAGAGTGAAAAGGGTTAGAATCTTGAAACCCAGGTAGGTCGGTATTAATATATGTAATCACGAATGTGCCGGGTTGTAGGTTGCCCAGGTGCACTTGTTTCTGCTCGTCCACGGGAAAGGCGATGTCAGCCTCAGGGTCTGGCCAGGTATACTAGTTCTTTGTTTATACTGAGTTCACAGCGATGCCCCAGAAGTCGGTCGAAGTTCACCATGGTTTCCAATTTCCCGGCTGGGATACGTGAAGGGCATGAGAACTCCCCCACTGAGGGACCATGTCTAAAGCTTACAGTAGCGTGGGCGCTGCGTGGAAACTGGTACCTGGACCCGGCCCACCTCGATTGGCACATGAATTACCCATCTTGCTATTGGATAATACCTGACGATAGCTCCGGCGCCGGACCCATTTTCATCTTGCGGCTTGGTTGTTCCAAAGTCTTGTCAGCAATAGCCATTCATATACGTACATACCTAGTTCGTACACTACATTGTACTGTACCTTAGGCTACCTAACTGCCTGATGCCTGCTTGAAACTAAGACACGTCGATTTTGGACGATTTACATCACTGTAGAAGTAGAACATAAGTAAATCATGGATTGGCGGTCTCGGTTGGCGGACGCAATCCCACCTTACATAGCAGTGTTATCAACACCCTACGCCAGTGGATACCTATTGTCTGCCCCACAATGAGGAAAGCTCCCTGCTTTCGGATATAGGGCTTAACTCGAACTAAATATCCATCCGAATTGGTGTAGTGGCCAACATTTGACGCTCTCATTCCAAGGAAAGTACCGTCAAGCCCGGGGTTCGATTCCCCGATTCGGAGTTTCTTTTGCTTATTTTGTCTACTCTATCTATACACCTACCTACCTTATGCTTGTCCTCCGATTCTCTATCTCCGTTTTATCCTTTGATTGTTTTTCTTTAAAATCTTTCTGATCTTTTGTTCCTCTCTCTCTACTTTTGTATGAGTCTACAGATCAACTGAAGGTAACCCCCCCCTGTCTACCTAAGAGTCCCGTGCACTTTGGTATAGATATAAGCTATAGGTACCCAACTTTTGCCCAACATTAGGCGGCTACGCCGTAGCGGCTGCGCCGCGATAACTACAATTTAACATTCTTTTTAAACTCTTTGACCTCCGGGGGGCATGCGCTTCGCGCCGACCCCCACTCCGGAAAAAAAGCGAATATGTTTTTATTTTGGTCCGCCGCTCGCCCTCCAGGCTCACGAGGCTCGCTATTTTTTGTGGCGTTAGTGTGGCGTCAAGTCTTTTGTGGATCATTTCTACCCAAAATGCACGGGACTCTCAGGTAGACAGGGGGGGGCTACCCTCAGTTGATCTAATTCCTCCTTTTGTATCTGGCTTATTAGCTATGTCCATAACCATTTTTCTGTCATCTCCATGCACCCAATATTAAGGAGCTTAGGAATAGTATCTTAAAGTGAAGTAACAAACATATCACGTCTTAGTTTGATCGAAGATATTACTTTCCTTACACGTGATCTCATTATTAATGCTTTTTCAAACGCCCTATTTTAGCAACTCCAGGATGAGTCTCTTGTTTTTCTCAATCGACTCCATAATCTCACTGATGCGGATGTACTCGTCCTTTCCATGCGCCACACGGATCGAACCCGGACCATAGAGCACCTTTCTATGGTCACCTCGCAGCCTGGGTATATCCGTACCATACGCCATGGGCTCCGCCTCGAAGCCTTCAAACTCCCACTGCAGCACCATCTCGGGATATTGGAACTTGAAGTCGACGTCGACGTCGGGATGCTTGTCCACCACGTCCCTCACCGCCTTCTTGATCCCTTCTATGTCTCTTGCGACACGGATGCTGCAGAGCGCCTTGGCCTCGGCTGCGAGGATGTTGTAGCCGGCTCCGCCCTCGATCTTGCCGATGTTCAGCGTTGACGGGCCCAGGAGCTCGGAAACTGGCCATTCGACGGCTCTAAGGTCGTTCATCGCGTCGAAGAGAAGCAGCGTCGCGCTTTTGCCTAGGTGCGGGTATCCAGAGTGGCTTCATGCAAATAATTAAGTTAGTATCCCCCTGCTCTCGAGTGAGTACGGTTAAAAAAATATGTCGGCTTTCTTACCAGGCTTTCCCGCGAGCGATCACTTCAAACACAAGATTGCCCTTGTGTCCCTTTGCTACCTTGCCCTCCGTCGGCTCGGCAAAGAGACCCGCTTCCCAGGTGAGCCCCATGTCGTTCGCGGCGATCATTCCCGGGCCGCCCTTCTCCTCGCCGACGACCCATAGGAAGCTCACGTCTCCCTCCTTCAGCTTTCCCTCGGCGCGCAACTCCTCCACTGCGAATATCTGCGCGACCATAGGGCCCAAGTCGTCACAGGCGCCGCGGCCGCGGATCACATCGCCGTCGATGCTGAAGGGGATGTGGGGCGGTACCGTATCCATGTGTGCCGTCACGAGCAGCCGGGCTTTTCGCTCCCGGCCGAGATATGCGTAGACATTGTGCCGTGTCGAACCCGGTTCGATGGCGATTCGTTCTGCGGTAAACCCACGGCCTTGTATGTGTTTTTCTAGGTATTGTCCGATCTCGAGTTCCTTTTCACTGGTACTCTCGATGTTCATAAGGGTCTTCAGGAGCTCAACCACCTCCTTCGAGTCCGATTTGGCCGCCATGATGCTATGCTCAGTTAGACAGCCCTTCAATATTAGTCGCAATGTGTGAGTGCCGTTACAATTAAAAGTAGTCACAACTCAGTGCTGTATAGTTGTACTTGTAGTATCCCTTGGTCGGCTCGGGCGGGGTTGGGTCTGGATCGTCGCTTGTCTTGGGCTTGTCGGGCTCCGCAGTTTCAGCTGTTGCGGACACCACACCGACTCATTCTCTAATCTTCATCTTGCATAGAGACTACGATTTGCATATCATCCAGATTCAAAGCATTTCAGTAAAAATACTATTGTTCCATTAAGCCGTAAAAAGCGTCGCTTACTATTAAGCTCGATGAATTTTGAGATCTACACCCCGCATGCCAGTACGATGTAAAGAGCCAGCAGGCGGTGATAGTCTCAACTTACATGCATCCTGTATCTCCATCATATGTGAAGTGCATCTGAGACGCGCACACGATTAGCCCTTACATATTATGCTATTTAAAACCCAAGCCGTTATTATAATTCTCGGCTATTCAAGACTCAATGACGTCACCATCGTAGCTTCGTTGAATTGCCATCGACACTACCACTACACTTATACCGATCCCGATTCTTCGTGCGCAAATACAAGGACGGATGAGATTAATAAACAATGGCGTATAACGATGCGTCGAATATCGTTTCTTCATAGCCCCAGAGCAACTGTAACAAACACTACATGACAACTTATTCAAGAGCGTCTCCCACTCAACTAAGCCGCATATAACCTCTAATTTGTAGAAACCGTCATCCATGAGACGTCAATACCGAGCATCGGTCCCATCAAACCCAGAAAGAGATGTCTACATCCTGACACTGAAAACTAACCCCACGAATCAGAAACGCATGTCCGAGTTGCGCCCACGGTACTTCCCACCCCACCTCCTCAACGTCAGCGCATACATAACGCTCTTCCACGTTGCTTCCAAGCTTTCTCCTATCCGCTGCAATCTCCGCCCTGTCATCTTTGTGCGCCACAATCCTGTCCTTCAGTATTCGCGCTGCGAAAACCCTTCCGCATAACACGCGGTGTTGGCGTTTCCGTTTCCGGCCTCGGGCCTGCGGAGGAGTTGTTCGCGGAGCTGCGGACGCGGTGGTGGGAACACCTGACGTTGCAGGATAAGGAGAAATGTAGGGCCTATTATACCCTGATGATCGAAGTTGGCGATTGTGAGGCTGTGAAGGAGTGTTTGGCGTAGCTTGCGATCGACTTTAAGGGCTGTGAGGATGTTGCTGCCGGTCTTGATCTATAAAGGTATGATAGTGGGTGGTAGTGAGATGAAAGGGATTTCGAATTTTCTATATAGGGTGGATTTGTTAAGATAAGAGCGACTTAGGTGTATGCTCTTATTTCGTGTGCAATGCAGATATGTGAGTAACTCATAGTGGGCAGTGCGACAACCGCCATACTTACATTGCTGACACTCGCGTTAGCCCTTAATACGAAACTAGCGCATCCTTCAAATCTTTTCCCTGAAGGTCGAGTCGATAGCTGCAAAGATGCTCAACGGAGCCAAAAGATCGGTTCGAAGAAATGCAGTTCTAACCATAACACCATCACGAAAACATATTCGGCAGCCTTGTCAGTGAAATCTTCGCAATTAACTAAGCTATCTAAGCGTGTGACATTGGACCATCGTTATGCTAATCCATGAGAACGGGACGGGGTCCTATTTGGCCGGTGATAGTACAATGTGCAGATGAAATATGAGGGCAATGTTGAGGATATGTAGGATTATTCGATTGCTGCTGCAACGAAGCTGTTGGTAATGCATCGAGCTTCTTTTTATTTTTCCATTTCTTTTTCCATTTCTTTTTCCATTTTTTCCATTTTTCAGTAATTTTTTCTTCGTATTACTCAGAGTCATAGTAGTAATATCCTTTCATAGTTTTTTAGGCGGCATCAGTGTGGTTTCTGGGCTTTTGTGGGGGGAATAACGAGAAAACCAGGGTCGTTATTGCCCCGGGAAAGGGAGCGAGAGTTGCGCAACTCTTGTCATCGGCGAAGATGCAGAATTATAAACCGCAGAAAGTAGAGTTATAGGAGTCCGTCTACGATCGCAGTCGACGGAGACAACTATGCTTATGGGATGCCTGGTCGGGCAAACAGTCGTAGTTAGATCTCATCAGCCTCTTCAGCCTCGATCTCCTCATCTAACTCAGCATTGCCTTCGTTATTGGGTACAATCTCGAAACTCCCATCGTCGAACTTCTTGAGGTGGCCGAAGAGAGCAGCAACCTCCTCGGTAGTTAGCTTATCCCTCTCGCCAGGCTCCAGGACCTTATTGATGCTCTCGAGCTTCTCTTCTTGGAGAGCTTCTATGCGGTCGTCAATGGTATTTTTAGCAATAATGCGGAGGAAATGTGTTTCTTTTGTCTGGCCGATCCGGAAAACTCGTGCAAATGCCTGCATTTCGATGGCAAGATTCCACCATAGATCGACGAGGATGACTCGGTTTGCGCACGTTAAATTGAGTGCCACTGAGCAACATCTAAAGGATGCAATCTTAAGCTAGTTAGCGTATTCTTTGGCACATATTCATCAATAAACTTACCATAACCTTAATATTCTTTTTCTCATGGAATCCATGAATAGCGTTCTGCTTCGCCACTGGAGTCATATCTCCAAAGAAGTAGAGAAATTCTATACCCTCAGCCTCCAACATACGCCCGAGGATCGCGCCAGTCATCTTGAAGTCCATAAAAACGATAATCTTGTCATCGGGAGCCTCAGACAGCCATTCGAGGATAGCTTCTTTAACCGCGATTGTCTTTGCACTTGGCACCGCCGGTTTGGGATAGTCCTGGTCGCATTCCCGAAGGAATCTAGATTGTGACTTTCGGAACTTCGGATGCTTCTTAAAGCTGTCGCGGCCTAGCTTTCGAACTTGTGGTATAGCACGCCGAGATGTTGATCTGCTCATAGAGTCTTCGATATCTGAATACTCTGCATCAGATTGCTCGAGCGGCTCGGAATCAGTCAAAGCTTTGTTACAGTCGGGGCACTTAGGTATGACCCGCCCATCTCGACGCTCCTCCAAAAAATGATCATCAAGGCACTCCTTGCAAAAAAGATGCTCGCACTACGCACCGTTGTCAGTCAAAGTCTTTCATATAGTATATTGCTTCAACTCACTTTAGCTATGTAGCCATTAAT